GGCCCGAGAGGCTGGCACCTCATCAGTCACAGCTTTGGCACCGTGTGTGCCTGGAGCCACCAGAGACACGGCAGTGGTGCCTGGGCCTGGCACTCCCGCAGGCTGGCTGCCCCTCCCCCTCCCAGACTCCTGCAGCAGAGGCGGGTCCTCACAGGTGCACGCGGTCTCCTCGGCGTGCCAGCCCGCTTACTGCTGTCAGAGCAGACCAGACGGGCACAGGCCTCGGGCTGCCGTCCTGCGCCATCCGGTGGGGCCTGCGGGCAGCCTGGGAGGCACTTAAAGTCCCATTGTTGCCCCTCAGGTGAAGGCAAATCGCTCTGTGACACAGAGCCGGGGCACACTGGACGTCTTGTGTGAAGGTGTGTTTTAGTAATTCAAATGTAGTTTTTAAAATTAATTTAATTTTATTTTATTGGGGTGACATTGGTTAATAAAATTAGATAGGTTTCAGGCATACAATTCTATAATACATTATCTATATATGCATTGTGTGCTCCCCACCCCAAATCAAGTCTCCTTCCATCACCATTTATTCCCCCTCTCCCCACTCCTACCTCCCTGCCCCTCCCCCCTTGGTAATCACCATCCTGTTGTCTGTGTCTAAGAGGTGGTTTTTCTCTTTGTTTAATCCCTTCAGCTTGTTCACTCAGCCCCGAAACTCCTCTCCCCTTTGTCAGCTGTCAGTCTGTTCTCTATGAGTCTGTTTCTATTTTATTAGTTATTTTATTTTGTTCATTAGATTTCACATATGAGTGAAATCATATGGTATTTGTCTTTCTCTGACAGGCTTATTTCACTTAGCATAATACTCTCCACATCCATTCATCTGTCAAAAAGGGTAAGACTTCCTTCCTTCCTTCCTTCCTTCCTTCCTTCCTTCCTTCCTTCCTTCCTTCCTTCCTTCCTTCCCTCCCTCCCCTCCCTCCCTCTCTCTCTCCTTTCTTTCTTTCCTTCCTTCCTTCCTTCCTTCTCTTTCTTTCTTTCTTTCTTTCTTTCTTTCTTTCTTTCTTTCTTTCTTTCTTTCTTTCTTTCTTCTTGCTTACAGCTGAGTAGTATTCCATTGTATAAATTTAGCACAGAGTTTTCTATTCACTCATCTACTGATGGACACTTGGGCTGCTTCTAAATCTTGGCTATTGCAAATAATGCTGCTATGAACATAGGGGTGCATACATTCTTTAGGATCAGTGTTTCCGGTTTCTTTGGATGCAGTCCCAGAAGTGAAATTGCTAGGTCATAAGGCAGCTCCATTGAAAAAAAAATATATGTTTTTATTGATTTCAGAGAGAGAGGTAGGGAGAGGGAGAGAGGGAGAGAAACATCAATGATGAGAATTATTAATCGGCTGCCTCCTACACACCCCCTACTGGGGATCGAGCCCAAATCCTGGAATGTGCCCTTACCTGGAATTGAACCGTGACCTCCTCACGCATGAGATGACACTCAATCACTGAGCCAGGCTGGCCAGGCCAGGCAGTTAAATTATTAGTTTTTTGAGGAAACTCCATTCTGCTTTCCAAGTGGCTACACCAGTCTGCATTCTCACCAACAGTGCATAGGGTTCCCTTTCTCCACATCCGGCCAACACATTGTTTGTTGATTTGTTGATGATAGCCATTCTGACAAGTGTGAAATGATATCTTATCTTGGTTTTAATTTGTACTTCTCTGATGATCAGTGACATTGAGAACCTTTTCATATGTCGTGCTCACAGGTGCCAGCCGATGGGTGAGGGAGCGCTAAGCAACCCAAAGCAGTGGAGGGTGCCCTGTGCCAGCTCCCCTGCCTGTTAGCAGGGCAGGTGGAGAGGACCACAACGGCCACAGCACCCTTGTCTCTGAAGAGACCTGCCGCTGTCCCCTGGTCCTGCAGCAGGTGCTTCAGGGTTAGCAAGTGAGCCTCCGTCACCTACAGCCTGAGTGCTTCTCACACTTCTGCTCTGCACGGGTCCTGGGCGAGCCAGGCCACAGGCAAGCCCACAGGGAGGTCTCAGGTCCCTCCCCGCTGTGGGCCCTCCTGGTTTTCTGAGCCAGGCGTTCGGGGCTTGTCTCTTCGGTGCGGATCCCAAGGCTGAGCCTGTTGGAGACGCGGCACTGGTGAGATCCCGCCCTGCCTCTGCCTCTCCTTCCCTTCTCGCTGTGGCCCTTTTCTCTGTTGTCATGGTGGAGCAGGCCGTCTGCTTCCCAGGCCCTTTGCAGAGGGAAGTGATCCCTACAAGCTGCAGACTTGGTGTGCCTGGGAGGGCGTGAGCTCAGGGTCTTCCCAGGCCACCACCGGGACCCCTCTGTTTCTTGCTTTTTTTCCTTCTAAAACTTAGCATTTAGGATGTGGCTTGGGGGGGGGGGGGGAGGCGCCCTCGGTTGGATGGATCATTGCCCCGTACACCAAATGGTTGCGGGATCAATTCCTGGTTAGGGCACATACCCACATTGCAGGTTTGTTCCCAGGTCAGGGTACGTACAGAAAGCAACTGATGGACATCTCTCTCTCTCTCTCTCTCTCTCTCTCTCTCTCTCTCTCTCTCTCTCTCTCTCTCTCTTTCTCTCTTCCTTTGCTCTAAAATCAATAAGCATTTCCTTGGGTGAGGAAATAAATAAATAAACAATAAATAAGTAAGTAAATAAAAAGCCTTAGCACATAGGAGACAGTGCAGACCTCCAGTGGCTTCCGGAGCACACAGAAATAGCGCTCCAATGCCAGGTTCGAGGGACATCTAGTCTGGAGCCCACCAGGAGGCTGTTGTATGATCACTGGCCCTCTGGGGACTCCAAAGCCTCCAAACCCAAAGGCGTTTGGACCCGAGATGGTGGCTGGGGCATTGTTGGGTGAGGGAAAAGGCCACTTTCTAGCATTCCCTCAAGTCACATGATCAACTGCCCCCCTTCTTTCTGTCCAATTAAAACATCCTCGTGGCTGAGCCCCTGGTGGCGGCAGAAACAGGGGGATCTCTCCGGGGCAGGGGTGTGTTGGCTCGCAGCTCAGCGCCAGGCAGCACTCTGAGCACTGTGCCGGGATGGGTGGCACAACAATAACCTTGTCAGAGGCGGCAGGCCCTTCAGGTAGGACTTCAGAGTCTCCCCGATCGCGAGCCACATGCAAACAGTGTCAACTCATCTCAGGATTTGTACAAAACATCGGTGCGGTGGTTCTTTCCAGATGGAAGAGGTGCCCCTTCTTCTTGCTACCCCTGCCCCTCAGCCCTATCAGTTCCCATCAACGCCATCCTGAGAATGGAGCTATCGATAGTAGATTAAGAGGCCAGGCTACCTCCAGTAAGGACATTTTTTTGTGTTTTTTTAAAAAATATATTTTTATTGATTTTTTACAGAGAGGAAGGGAGATAGAGAGCTAGAAACTTCAATGAGAGAAACACCGACCAGCTGCCTCTTGCACACCCCCTACCGGGGATGTGCCCGCAACCAATGTATAATACATGCCCCTGACCGGAATCAAACCTGGGACCTTTCAGTCCACAGACCGATGCTCTATCGCTGAGCCAAACCGGTTTTGGCAGTAAGTAAGGGACATTTGTAACCCTAACTGTTTAACCGCCTGGTCCTGGCCCCAGGCCTCGGGGCTGGCCGGCATCTGCCCTGATGCAGGGACAGCAGAGCGTCGTCACTCCCAGGACTCTCGGCCATAACGGGCAGTAACTTTAGACCTTGGTCATGTTTCCCAGTAAAGGCACAGGAATCTTTTTGTGCAGAGTGTTAATTTGGTAATGAACCTATTTAAAATATGCAAGTTGTAGAATTACTGGTATGTTCTGGAATTTAATTATTTGCTGTCTTTAGAGCCTCAAGGAGACCCTGCAGCTGGGTGAGCCGAGTGGCACTGGGGACACCGCCCTCCTGGGCAGGGGCACTCCTCCCTCATGGCCAGCAGTGCCCACGTTTGCAAATTCTAATGGAAGGCATTTCATTCCCACTTTGTTCCCAAGACAAAAGCGAGAGCTGGTACTGCCAACACTTTGCTAGGTGAGGGTGACAGAGTGGCACCGACACCTCACGCTGAGCGCTCCCACACCCGTCTCCTGGAACGGGAGTGGCCCCTACAGTCAGCTGAGTAGCTTGGCTGTTATCTTGTGATTAAGGGGAGCCTCTGAAGATGGATGGGAAGGAGTGATTGGTCAAGACCATATTTTAGGGGGTTGCCAGAGGGAAGGAGGTAGGGGTGAGGGGTGAAGGGGGCCTATATATATGGTGACAGATGATTTGACTTTGGGTGGTGGGCACATAGTGCGGTGTACAGATCTTGAATCATAGAAATGTACACTTGAAACCCACATGATCCTATTGACCAATGTCCGCCAACACTGCATTTTAGCGAGGCCGTTGGTGGCTAGTTGGGGAGGAGGGTGTGGGAGAATGGAGTCGGAGACTATGGTCCGTGTGTTTCTAGGTAGAAATTTCAAGTCATGTGCTCTGGGGGCACATGACTTGAAATGTTCCTGCCCTGGTGTTTCCATCTGGAGCTTTGACAAGACAAATGGCCTTTCCCAGGCGGACACTGTGCAAATGAACTTCATCCTCCCACAGAGAGAAGCAGCCTCCCTCCTGGGGGACATTTGTTTCCCTCAAGGCTGGCAGCGAGAGTAAAAGGGCCAGGAAACCTCTCAGGGCGGAGCGAGTCCAAATGAGAACAGGAGGGAGTTTCTTTTTCTTTTTTCTTTTAAAATATAATATATATATATATATATATATATATATATATATATATATATATATATATATTATTGTTTAAAGTATTTGTACATATGTTTCCTTCCCCACCCCCTCCCGATTGACCTTCCTCCAGCCTCCCCTACCCTCTGTCTCATGCCTTCACTCCCCCCAGTGTCTTGCATCCATTGGTCATGCTTATAGGCACACATACAAGTCCTTCGGTTGATCTCTTACCTCCCCCCGCCCCCCCCCCCCCCAGCTTTTCCGCTGTTGTTTGACAGTCTGTTCGATGCTTCTCTGCCTCTGTATCGATTTTGTTCATCAGGAGGGAGTTTCTCATTGGTCGCCTTGGGGGTCCGATGGCCCATTTCCTGGGACAGCTTGTCCACTTGCTTCTGCCATCATCTCTTTGTACTGGCGTTTAAAGAAGCCGGCCTGCAGGGGAGGAGAGAGAGGAAGGTCAGGGCGTCCAGTGAGAGAGGGGAAAGAGGATGGGGAAGGGGAGGGACCACCATTCAGGGGCTCCTGCGATGTCCAAGCAGTGCAGTGGCAGCACTGTGACGCTAGACTGGACCACATTCTGTGAGTTGTGATTACCCTTAGGATGTGAAACAAGACCCAGCGTGGGCCAGGCACTTGCCTAGTCACAGAGAATCCATGGCGGTGTCCACATCAAACGCAGGGCAGTGCTTTTCATGTTGTAACTAGAGGCCTGGTGCATGGATTTGTGCACCAGTGGGGTCCCTCTGAGTGGTGTGTGGGGACCTGGCCTAAACCATCAGTCCAACTCCACCTACCACTCCTGCCTGCCACTCCTGCTCCTCCTGGCCCCCTGTGCCTGCCACAGGCCTGCACAGCCGTGAGCTCTGCATCTGGCACCCATCTGTCAGCTGAGTGGCACTCCCCCTGTGGGAGCACACTGACCACCAGGGGCAGCTCCTGCATTGAGCGTCTGCCCCCGGGTGGTCAGTGCATGTCATAGCGACCGGTTGTTCAGTTGCTTAGGCATATATATATATATATTTGCTGTCAAGGGAAACACATACAAAAGCAGACAAGTGGGAAAGAAAGGGAGAGAGCTGAAGGAGGCCTGAGAACAGGTAGGAGGCACACACATGGAGGACAGTGGGGACTGCTGATGTCAGAGCGGAAGAGGCTCTCTGGCAGCCAGCGACAGCGAGAATGTGGGCCCGACCCCACGGTGAGCGCCGTCTACGGTGCAGAGAGCGGGAGCAGGCGCCAGGTGTGGGAGGCAGCACGCACCTTGTACAGCAGGAACGTGATGAGAGCCAGCAGCAGCAGTCCGCCCACGGAGCTGCCCACAATGAGGGGCACGGGGTTGTGCACCTCCTGCTTTTCCAGCACCACCTCCGCCTGGAAGGAGGGGACCCGTCAGGAAGCATCGGGGCTCTGGCTGCCCGGCTCCTCCCAGGCCCCTCCAACCCTTAACCCCGCCCCGGCCTCCCCAGGCCAGACTCCTGGGCTGAGCTCAGAAGCCCTCAGGGGTCAGGGCCCTCTGTCCCAGCCGGGGCCTTCACCCCTCCCCCCAGGCCGTGAGCCCCACAGGCACACGGGCTCAGCACCAGAGGCCTCACCACTGGCTGCGCCCCGCACAGCCCTACCTGGGTTCGCAGAAGCGCCTCCTGGCCCGGGAGCTGGGCGAACACGGACGTGTCGAACATGACCTCTGCCACGCTCACCACCGACACCTTCTTCTGCAGCGTCTGCAAAGGGCAGGGAGCGGGCAGCTGGCTCCGGGGAGAGCTGGCGCCAGGGCAATGCCCGCGCTGCCCTGAGGCGGCACAGACATTCAGGGACCCCCGGGGCGAGGGAGAGAGGGCTCTGCCCTGGGCCCACACACCTGGCTGACCCAGCCGAAGCTGAGGTTGCCCTTCAGGATGAAGTCCAGTTCCTCCTGGACGCCGAAGGAGGGGACGTCACAGCGGAACCTCCGGCAGGCGGCCGCCGAGCAGTCCTAGGGACAGGAAGAAGGTCAGCCCAGGGGGCAGGTGTGTGTGTGTGTGTGTGTGTGTGTGTGTGTGTGTAGGCAGAAGGTATCACTAAAGTGTCTGATTCAAGGGAGCAGCCACATCCGAAGTCGGGAACGCTGCGCAGCAGACATCCCTCTGCCCCTCACACAGACTCCTGAATGCAGCCCCCCTGATAGGTGGTGTAAGGAGGGGGCAGCCCGTGCTCCTCACCAGCACGGAATTCTTCTGGACGTGGGCCCGGGGGCTGGGCTCCGTGGGCTCCGTTCTCTCTGAGGAGCAGCGCATCGATGGGTTCTAGGAAGACAGGACAGGCGTTCGGTGGGGACCTTGGGGACTGGGGGGGACACGGGAAACCCAGGCAGAGGCCCGAGTCGGGGAGCCACACACAGGCCTCAGTACCTGGGGGTGGAGGAGCTCCAGCGCTGTCCACACGGCTTCCTGGTTCAGCTCCACCGGCACCGAGAGGTGGATGCTGACCGGCAGGTCCCTCTGTCCCAGGTTGTTCACCTGCAGAGGGCAGCGAGGCAAAGCGTGCCGAACCCACAGCCACCCCGGCCCCTGGCCGCTGGCCTCTGCCGGGGCTGGAGCCGCCCCGCCGTCACTCACCTGGTACCGGAGCTGGGCCCCGCGGCTCCCCGCCTCCTCGGAGGCTGAGAAGTTGAGGTACTTGGTGGAGTCCTCGTGGCTGGAGAGAGAAGAGGCACGGTGGGTGGGCGTTCCCTGGGGTCCCCCCGAGCAGCTCAGAGGGGCCTTGGCTGCCCCGGGGGAGTTGTGGGGCTGACCTGAGGGTGGGAAGGTTTAGGGCGTGGGGCTGAGCCTCTGGCTGGGTGCTCGCAGAAGCTGCCCACGGAGGACACTGCCCAGGGGGGCCGGGCAGAGGGGCCGTGAGAGGGACAGAGGCTCTGAGGAGGTCACACTGTGTGCCTGCCTGTGAGCACACGCTGCGGGAGACAAGCTCAGAGCTTGGGAGCTGGCGTGAGGGGCAGGGAGAATGTGGAGCTGTGGGCAGGAGGAGGGCAGCCAAAGAGACACGTGGGTGGACGTAGCAGGGCGGTGTACCCAGCTAAGCCCCACGGCCTGTCCCATATCACAGGGGCAGGGTCTATGTCTGGTGTTGATCACACAATAGAGGCTCAATGAAGCTTTGTTGAAGCCAAATGTATGAAAAATGTTCAACATGAAAATTCTTAGGAAAATCGATTTTAAATGAAAGCCAGTACCCACCCTCATCACCCACCCCTCCTGGGGCCGCCTCTTTTCCCTGACCCCTCTCTCCCCCGGGACAGGCGAAGTGCCTCTCCCTGTCCTTCCGGCGGCCTGGGGAAGGGAGGAGGAGCCGTTCTGAAGGCCCTTTGAGGCATAAAGCTGCTCCTTGCAATGAAGAACTGTCCCACCCAAATGCCAAGGGCCACGGCCAATGCCACAGGGAAATTATCCCACCCAGATGCCACAGGACCTGCAGTGTTGAGCCCCCGCCCCTCTTAGAAGCTCACGAAGGCCTCAGGCCCCAGAACCACAGAGAGGCCCTGGGTGACTCTGCTCTAGGTCAGGGCAACCTCGCTCCCAGCGGGGCGGTGAGGACCTGGAAGACAGAGACATCTCTGCATCTCTTCTGGAATCCAGGACACTCATGGGGCCTGGGAGAAAGCCTGAGAACTACAGCCTCTATTGAATGTCACGTGCAGTGATGACGTCGCTCCTCCTGTTGTCAGAGCTGGCCCACAACAAACACTCGGGGTGATTAGCAAGTGCTGCTAGCACCTGTCCTCTAAGGACTGGACAGTGTCCCAGGTGTTGGGGCCGCAGGGACAGAGAACCCCCAGCCCCGTCTGAGCGATGGGAGGGACGGTGCGGCACCTGGTGATCACGGCGTACACGGCGTACTTCACCGGGAGCTCCAGCCGGGAGCTGGTCCTGCTGGTCCTGGGCGTGTTGTTCTCGCTGGGGGGAGAGCAGCGGCGTGGGCAGGCGCCCCAGGAGGCAGGTGCGGACACACACACACACACACACACACACACACACACACACACACACACCATGCCTGGCAGCTCACCTGCTCACATTGGCCGTCAGCAGCAGCCGGTCGCCCAGCGAGGCCTTGGGGGAGACGTGGAAGGTGGCCACGAAGGTGACCTGAGGGAGAGGCAGGCTCGGCTGGAGGCGGGGTCACGGCCTGAGACCGGGTGGGGCAGGGGAGTGGGAGACAGCTGACCTGAGCGCCCTCGCGGAAGATGATGTGTCTGAGGCTGCAGCTGGTGCTCCAGGCGTCCTGGCTGCCCGTGAGGGCGCTGTCGCAGGCCAGGCTCAGGGAGTGGAACTGCGGCCGGCTCTGAGCAAGGGCAGGGGAACGACAGGTGAGCGTTTGTTAGTGTCCCAAAGGGACGCCATGATGGAGAGACAGTTTCCTGGAACCCACCCTAAGATTATGTGGTGTGTGTTTTTAATCTTTTGACACTATCTGTCTGGTCATATTTCTTCCTAATGTAGAAATCTCAGATTTATTAAAAATTTCCCCCTCTTTTTATTTACTGTTATTTTTAAAAGGCTTTCTGCTATGGAAATTTTTAAATATGCTCAAAAGTAGAGAGGCTAGATAAATCAAGCCCATATACCCATCGCTCATCTTAAATGGCCAACATTTTCCTACTTTTGTTTTATTCAGCTGCTTCTTCACCTTTTTTCTGAGTAATTTAAAGTGCATGCCAGATATCACATTGTTTCACCCAGAAATTCCTCCAGAGGTACCACCGGCCGCAAGACAGCAACTCACGGCCGGCAACATAAGCAACAGCTTAATGCCAGCCAGTATCCGGGCCTGTGCAGTCTTCCTGGGCCAGTGGTCAGCAAACTCATCAGTCAACAGAGACAAATATCAACAGTACAACGACTGAAATTTCTTTTGAGATCCACATTATTTAAACTTAAACTATATAAGTAGGTACATTGTTATTAACTTAATTAGGGTACTCCTAAGCTGGCCTTTGCTAAAAACTAAAGGGCCAAAGAGCCACGTGTGGCTTGCAAGTGTGCCGACCACTGTTCTAGATTGTTGCCAAAGATGCTATTTTACAGCTCATTTTAGAAATAAACACCCAACAGAGGCCCACATGCTGCATTTGGTTGGTGTGTCTAGAAGCTGGGGCTCTCACGCCAGTGCAGCTGGATCTTGCTATTTCTAGTGCGTTCCTTTGAATGCTAACCAAAAGATGACCCCATTGGGAATACATGTCTACGAGAGACGTAAGAGACCAGCCAGCCAAATGGAATGCGGAGGCCTCGTTTAGATGCTGGTTCCAATAAACCAGGTATAAGTAAAAAGGTATTTTTGAGACGAAGGAAATTTTATTATGAATCCTTCGCTTCACTGGATGCGATAATGGTATCGGGTCTTGTGGGATGTGGGGACAGTCCAGAACTATAGGGGGGAAGAGAGAGGAGTGACATGATGCCTGGGATTATCTTAAAATATTTCAGCAAACAGAGAGAGAGCCAGATGAACTAACTACAGCAAAATGTTGGTAATGGTTGAATCTGGGTGATACTTTTTTTGTTTTGTTTTGTTGTTGTTTGTTAATCCTCACCCGAGGATATTTTTTTTCATTGATTTTTAGGGAGAGTGGAAGAGAAAGGGAAAGACAGAGAGAAAACATCAATGTGAGATAAACACACCAGTGGGTTGCCTCCTGCATGAGCCCTGACCAGAGCCCCGGCCAGAGAGGAGCCTGCAACCTGAGAATGTGCCCTTGACTGGAATTGAACCTGGGATCTTTTGGTCCACAGGCCAATGCTCTATCCACTGAGCCAAACCATCTAGGGCTGGGTGATACGTTTTTGAGAGATTTGTCCATCTACTCTCTACTTTTATAAATGTTTAACATTTTTTGTTACATTTAAAAAAAATATCTGTTTCACTTTGGTCCTAGCTCTGTCTTCCAGAGCTGGCATTGCCAAACGATAGTCCAACGCTATTTTTCATAGAGGAAGTTCCATTGGCGCTCATTCACTCGCGTCTTATCAATGGCTGCTTTCACTCCACCCCAGCAGAGCTCAGCAGATGTGACAGACGCTCTGTGGCCACAAAGCTGAAATATTCACTTCCTAGCTCTCCAGAGAAAAAGCAGGCCAAGACCTGATCTAGAGTTACCATCAATTTAACCTCTGCTTCTACAAGACCGTGTTGAAAATATTTGAAGGTCGAGGTAGGCTTTCCTTGAAAAGAAGAATATTGATGTGATGCGGAATAAAAATAAGTTTAGGGCAGAGTCCCCCCTCTCTCCACATTAGCAGCCCGCTGGGCACTTATTCCTACCAGTTCGTGTCCTTAACACGGGATGCCCGGAGTTGCGCACAACATGAGCAAGTCCCGGATGGCACAGTCGAGTCTCTCCGACCAGGATCAGCCCGGATTCTGGGTTTGTGAGAGGCTGCTGAGCAATGGCAGCCCAGCCTGAGGTCTGGACAAGTCTCTGCTGATGCCCGGTCGTTCCTGGCTTCCCCAGCAGGAGTAATACCTGGCTCACTGCCACACGCCGGTAGGACAGCCCGGGCGGGTAGGAGAAGGTGACGGTGGTTCCGTAGGAGTCCTCACCGGTGTTCCACACTTTCACTCCCAGGCTCAGCTCCAGGTTGCTCCCCACCACCAGGGTCTCCAAGCTGGGGGTTGGGGGGGAGGGCAGAAGGTGAGTTTAGGTCCAGGGTTGAAACGGTGTGGGGATGAAGCGCAGGGTGGAGAGTGGGGGCCCAGGCTGGGGTGTCTGGTTTCTGAGCACAGGGTGGAGATGTCACGGAGAGCCAGACAGCAACTCTAGGTCCCAGGAGAGGGGCTGGGGGACGGGGCAGGGCCTAAGGAGGTGGACGCTCACCCAGAGGCGACAATGGTGATGCCAAGGTCGTCCTGGCAGACATGGTCGTCTCCACAGTTCTTCTCGAAGGGGAGCTGAGAGGGAAGGCAACGTGGGGTTTCTCCGAGGCCTGGAGGCCACACCCACTGCCCCCCAAAGGTCCCCACCCCAGGACTCACAGAGGCCGTGTAGTATCTGGGGGTGTCCGGAGCCAGCATGGGCTGGAGGTCCCCAAGGGAGAGGATGGGTTTGCCCACCAGGGAGAAATTGAGACTCAGGGTGATGGGGATCATCGAGTCCTCCACGCAAGCCTGCAAGGCGGGCATTGGGGAGAGCAGGGGGCTCAGGGCAGCACCCGCAGTCACTCGCTGAGCCCGTCTCCTCGTCTGTGAGACGGGGTCACTGTGATGCCTACCCACCTGTGCTGGGGAAACGCTCGTTGCTAAGATTCCACCTTGAGAATTCTCTGCTGGGCTTGCCCTCTGCCTCGATCTCCCTTCCCCCGGCCTCCCACAGCTCAGCCTACTCAGGGTCTTCGCAACCCCCTGCTCGGGGGCCTCAGGACCCTCTGCTGTCTCCCTGGCTCCATCCTTCTCCACAGCAGTCATCACTACCTGAGCCCTGTCACCTAGGACCCAGATTGTTTTTGCTCTCTCCCTGCCTGCCCTCTGGGCGTGGACTGTTTTGTCCCCTGTGGTGCCCCTGGCACCTAGGACAGGGTGTGTCTCAGAGGAAGGGCTTGATGCAAGAATCCCAGCCCCCGCTCTAGTTCTCTGAAGCAGCCATGCGCGCCTCTGCCATGCAGCTGTGTGGTTTCTGACAGCTGCAGCCCACCCACCCACCCATTCATTCACTCATTCATTCACCCATTCATTCACTCAGCCACGGATCCACTCACTTATCTGGCTAAGAAATGCTAAGCTCCTCCTGCATGCGAGGCGGCTGCTGGGCTGAGCGAGCACCAGGACCAGAGCACACTGGCTCTTTCCCTGCCCGGCCACCGCCAGCCTCAGCCTCGCCCCGTCCCCAGCACCCGAGACCCTCACCGGGAGCAGCAGCTTCACTTCCTCGCAGTGCTGGCCCAGGCCGAGGAGTCTACCACGAGTCAGATGCCGAGTGCTTGTCTCCTTGAAGACGGCACGGGGACTCAGGCGGCCAGGGTCAAGGGTCAGGTGAAAGGCCACATCACTTTGGAGGTTCCCTATCGGGGGAAGTAGAGAGGGGGGCGGGCTGAGAGGACCAGGAACTCTCAGGTGGGCACGGGGCAAGGCAGGAGGCGGGGGCCTGGGCCGGAGAGGACTCACCCAGCCGCGTCCTGGGACTCTCGTGGACGCGAAGGCAGACACGGGCATCGGCCAGGTCCCGGACGGAGGCTGAGTGCTCCCGACACTCGAACACGGACCTCGCGATCTCAGGGGGTGTCATGTGGATGTCCACCCACACCCTGAGCACAGGCCTGGTCCTGCGGGCAGAATGCCAGCCCTTGATCCCAGGAGGGCCGCCTGGGGTGGGTGGGGAGACGCTGTCCTGGGTAGACCTCGGGGCCGCCGGGGGAGAGACCGGGGAAGGCTGTTCTCACCTGAGCAGCAGTGTGTGCCCCTGGGCCCCCACGGCCAGGTCCACGAGGCCGTCCATGGTGAGGTCCTGCCCCCCGCTCAGCGACTGCCCGAAGTGCTGGAGCCTGGGGGAGAGCTGGGAGCCTGTGATCCGCTGTGGGGAGGAGAGGGCAGGCAAGCCGGTTCGGGGTGAGAAAAACGAGTTGGAAATCAGCAACGGGAGGCACGAGGCACGGGGAAGTAGGAACGGCAGGGACAGAGGGGTGAGGAGTGAAATGATGTCACCATGAAGGGCTACAAAGGGGGTGAGGGGCCATGAAGACTGGAGCAAAGAAAGGAGGGCCGGGCCGCAGGGATGCACGGTTCTCAGCAGCCTCTCGCCCTCTTATTTATTTATTTTTTTATTAAATATATTTTATTTATTTTTTACAGAGAGGAAGGGAGAGGGATAGAGAGCTAGAAACATCGATGAGAGAGAAACATCAATCAGCCACCTCCTGCACACCTCCTACTGGGGAGGTACATGCCCTTGACCGGAATCGAACCTGGGACCCTTGAGTCCACAGGCCAGCGCTCTACCCCCTGAGCCAAACCGGTGAGGGCACGCCCTCTTCCTAACGTCCCAAGCTCTTTGAAGCCCTTCAGTGGTTAAGCTGTACTGACAATGATTGATTGTAAGGCAGCACCTACTACGCGCCAGGCACACATGCCTCTGTCACCACAGACGTGCTACGTGCCGCCTGCGCACTAACTCGTAGTCCTCCGGGCAGCGGCCTGGGGAGGCTGGCTTCCGGTCGCCACCGTGGACAGCGGAGGAGGGAGCACAGGCGGGTGAGCAGTGACTCGGCCCATCCCTGAGACACGATCCACACACCGTGCAGCTCACCGTTCACGCAGCCCCATGTTTCCGGATGCCCACAGCGAGGCGCCGACCAACGAATCCATTTTAGAACATTTTCATCCCCCCAAAGAGAAGCCATATGCCGAGCCATCACCACGACGTCCCTCATTCCCCCCTCCCCCGGCCCCTGGCGACCACTGAGCTACGTTCTGTCTCCGGGGACCCTCGTTCCGGAGCGGCCCCTCTCTCAGCACCATGCTGCCAAGGCCACCCGCGCTGCAGCCGTGTCAGCCCAGGCGGGCCTTTGTGCGTCTGCTCGCTCGCTCACGGGCACGGGAGTTTTCCCTTTGGGTCGGTGTGAATGACGCTACAGGAACATGTGCTGTGACGTTCTGTGTGAATGTGTTTGCAGAGTCTCTGGGTTGTGCTATGCCTCCTGCCTCAGCCCTCAGCACCTGCTGTCTGTGGTCCAAGGCAGCTGCACTGGCTCCGCCCTCCCCCAGTGAGGAGGGCACCAGACCCTCCGCATCCCGCCAACCTGCTGTTGCCTCTCCATTCTAGCCCCCCACCCCACCCGGGGGCTGTGAGCTGGAGCTCACTGTGGCTGATTAGCTGATGACTGGCGCTGCCTGAGGGTCCTTTGTGGGTCACCTTTGGCGAAGTGTCTCCTCAGCCCTGCGCCTGCTGTTATGTGGGACTCCCTTGGCTTTGCCGGGGAAGCAGCCCCCCTCCCAGGGAGCCCTGCCCCGCTGGGTCGGGGCTCCCGTCTAGACGGGCGTTTGCAGGATTACCGAGGGCAGCGGAGAATGAAGTGTGGAGCCTCTGGGAGGTGAAGGGGTGTGTGAACAGACGGGCCGAGCAACCAGCCCAAAGTGCTGGCAGCGAGGGGGGGGCAGGGAGCGGGCAGTGGGGGCCCCCAGGGAGCGGGCAGTGGGTAAGGAGACTGACCTGCCCTCGTCCCCATTCCCGATCCACTATGAACCCTGGACAAGCCCAGCCACTGGCTTCTCCAGACCCCAGACCCCATCGGCCACGGTGGGCTGCCGGGCCTGGCCGCCGGGATCACAAGTCCTGGACGGAGAGCTCACCCAAGGACAGTCCCATCGGACGCTTCTGTCTCTCACGCCCCAGTTTGCTCGCTGACCAGGGTGGGCCGAGAAGGGCAGAGGTGGACAGACTTCTCCAGGTGGCAGTGTGGGAGGCAGAGAGAAGCGAGGGGAAGGCTGTCGGAGCGACAGGATCTGCAACAGGCCTCACCTGGCTGTGGGTGGGGCTGATGCCCAGCCCCGGCGTTCCGTGGAACAGGTACACGGCTCCCCGGTTCTCCTGCTCCCCCGGGGCCCCGATGGCCACGTCCGCCAGCTTGTCCCCATTCACGTCCCCCAGCGCGGTCAGGGCCGCCCCAAAGCGGCCCCAGGGGTGGCCCTGCTCCCCGCGGAGCACGGCCTGGCACTGCCACCTGGCCCTCTGCAGAACAGAAGCAGCGCCAGTCCCAACCCGGCAACCCCTCCCCCCCACACCCAGCCCCACCCAGCAGGCCCCCTCAGCCACTCACCCCCCGGGGCAAGGGGCACACAGACACCCGGCCCCCCCGGGTCGGCTCGTAGTAGTGGGGAGCCCCGACGAGGACCAGGTCGGAGCTGCCATCTCTGTCCACGTCCACGGAGCAGAGGGAGGCCCCGAAGTAGGAGCCAATCTGGAGGCAGAGCCTCAGGTCACCCTGTCTGCCCTGGCACAGACACCCCTGGGCTAGGTCCCGCCTCTCCCTGGGCACAGGGCCTCCCCCCAGAGTCCCGAACCCCTTCTGCTCCCTCCTCCCCGGAGACCCCCCCTCAGGGCCCCACACCCACCTGGGCCCCTGAGACCTCAGCCTTCGGCCTCCACTGCCCGGCCTCCCGCGTGAAGAGGACGGCCTTGCCGGTGTGCTGGTGGCGGGGCGCCCCCAGGACCAGGCTCTGCACCCCCTTCCAAAGGGCCAGCTCGGCGGAGTAACCTGGGGGGCTGGGCCTCAGCACAAAGGCCACCTCTCCCCCCACCCCCCATCCTCTGTCTCCCGGCCGCTCACCTCCCCCCTGTCCTCCCAGCCAAAGCCTCTCTCACCCAGGTAGGAGTCCGCCATGTCCACATTCTCCTGGGACATGTTGATGAAGGTGGGTTTCATATTTTGGGGGTACAGGAAGGCACCTCCAGACCAGCTGAAGCTCCCCACAGCGCCCAGAGTGGGTCCTTCCTGGAGAAAGGTCTGGGGCTGAGCTGGGGGTGAGGAGAGAGCACCTCCACAGCAGCCCACCCTGGACACCACCTCACCTGCCTCCTCCCTGCCCCCTCACCCCACACCCACCTCACCTGCCTCCTCTCTGCCCCCTCACCCCACACCCACTTCACCTGCCCCCCTCACCCCACACCCACCTCACCTGCCCCCCTCACCCCACACCCACCTCACCTGCCCCCCTCACCCCACCCCACCTCACCTGCCTCCTCCCTGCCCCCTCACCCCACACCCACCTCACCTGCCTCCTCCCTGTCCCCTCACCCCACACCCACCTCACCTGCCTCCTCCCTGTCCCCTCACCCCACACCCACCTCACCTGCCTCCTCCCTGTCCCCTCACCCCACACCCACCTCACCTGCCTCCTCCCTGCCCCCCTCACCCCATACCCACCTCACCTGCCTCCTCTCTGCCCCCTCACCCCACACCCACCTCACCTGCCCCCCTCACCCCACACCCACCTCACCTGCCTCCTCCCTGCCCCCCTCACCCCACACCCACCTCACCTGCTTCCTTCCTGCCCCCTCACCCCACCCCAGGGGCCAGAAGGGCCCACTCACAGGCATGAGCACCGCGCTGAAGCCCTCCTGGGACATCTCCAACTCGAAGGAGCTGCTGCTCACGGGGTGCGTCCCTGGGGGAGGCATGGCACTCGGGTTCAGGGCAGGGGGGTGGGGGCGGGGCAGGCTTTGCCAAGTCTGAGGACACCTCAGCTTTTTTTTTTAATCCTCACCGAAGGATGTGTTTCCATTGATTTTCAGAGAGAGAGAGGAAGAGAGAGGGAGAGACAGAGAGAAACATCGATATGAGAGAAACACATTGATTGGTTGACTCTTGCACTCGCCCCAACCAGGGCCCGGGCAGGGGAGGAACCTGCAACCAAGGTACATGCCCTTGATCAGAATTGAACCGGGACCCTTTGGTTGGCAGGCCGACGCTCTATCCACTGAGCCAAACCGGCCAGGGCAGGACACCCCAGCTGTAATAGGGCCTGATGGTGGAGACTGCCCAGAGGGCGGGGCCCAGAGGAAAGCACCCGTGAATGAGGTGTCAGAAGCGAGTTCCACCGCTGACTTACCCTCAATGGCAAAGATCTTCTCTTTCAGCTGCTCTTGAATGTCCCTCAGAGCATCAAAGTTGTCCACTTGGAATATGTGCTCCGTCCAGGGCGTGGACGCGATGGCTCTCAGTTCTTTCAAGGAGCGCCTGTCCTTAAAAGCCGACCCCACCTGTCCCCACAGGAAACCCGGTCAGAGAAAAGACGACAAGCCCAGGGCGCCTGTCACGCTCTGCTGCCATGTCCTCCAGGAATTGGGATCAGTGTCATCCCCCTCCCCCTGCCACTCTGCACCCCCTCCCCCCAACACACACACGGAGGTTAGCAGAGGGTCAGGTCCCAGGCTAGCACAGGCCTCATCCTGAGGGCAGTGGAAGCCGAGAGCTGGGGTTTCTGCCCCTGAAAGGGATGTCCCCAAAGAGGGAGCAGAAGGCAGGCATCCCACATCCTACCCCGACCGCATAGCGGATGATGCCCTTGTCGTTGGCCTTGGAGATGACGTCATCGTATTCCAGACTGTCGCCTATTTTCTTCCCATCGGTGATGACGATGAGGATCTTGGAGGCATCCGCTCGGGCCCCATTGTGGACACTGAACAGCTCCCTTCTGCAGGAAAGAAGAGGGTCCGGAGGCGCCTGGACAGAGCCCCTCGGCCTCGGTGGCCGTGCGGAGGTGACTTCCTCGGAGCCTGATGCGTGCGCCCAGAGCACCCACCCGCCCTCTTGGTGAGGAGCTCGGGCAGAATCTCAGGTCCATCGGCCCCTTTGTCATGGAGCCCGAGGAGGCCCAGGGGAAGGGCAGCCGCCTGGAGGGGCGGGAGAGTCAGGACTCACATGACCTTCAGGATAGCTGAGGCCGTGTGCGTGTTCCCTGTCAGCTGGTACACAGAGTCCAACAGCCGCTGTGGATCTGAGCTCAGCCTGAAGTCCTTGAACGTGAAGTGAATCCGGAAGGAGCTGGAGAACTGCATCAGGGAGAACTGGGAGAAGCGCTTAGGCTGGCACCGCCCTCCCCAGAGCCCCAACGCCCTCCCCAGAGCCCCTGGACCCTCCCCAGGGCCCCAGCGCCCTCCCCACAGCCCCAGGGCCCTCCCCCAGAACCTTAGCATCCTCCTCAGAGCCTCAGCATCCTACCCAGAACCCAGCACCTTCCCCCACAGCCCCAGCGCCCTCCCCAGAGCCTCATTCTCCTATAGGCCTTCCCATCGCCCGCCCTGCCCCACCGGCACACCTGGGTCATGGGTCTCTGGAACTGGCTCATCACAGCTTTCACGAAGCTCAGCATCTTGTCAAAATCACTATACCTGATGCTGCTTGAGCCGTCGATCAGGAACACGATGTCCTGCTCCTGCCTCGGGCACTCTGAGGAAGGAGGTGGCACCGTCCTCTGCAGGTGCTCCCAGAGCCCAGACCCTCCTGGTAACAAGAACTCAACCCGCCCCTTCCCGCCCCCCCCCCCCGGCTTCCCTCCCCCCTGCCCAGAACAGGCTGGCAGTCTCCTGTGGTCTCTAAGAGGCTGCACCTATGATTCGGCTGCTCACAGCTGCACAGCCAGCCTGGCTGGTAAAAACATGAAAGGTCCTCCAATGCAGATGGCGAGAAGCTGCTCCCCTCTTCTATCTCAGCGGCCGAAGCCCTGGGCCCTCCCGCCTCCCCCACAGCATCTCCACTCTGCTCCAGTCCCTGGCCCGTCTCTCCTCTGTTCAGAGCTGAACTGTATTTTTGTTAACTTTTAAAATTTGTTGTTGTTGTTAATCCTCACCCGATGATACTTTTCCATTGATTTTTAGAGAGGGAGGGAGGGAGAGAGGAAAGGAGAGAGGGAGGGAGGAAAAAAGACACACAGAGAGAGACATCAATGTGAGAGAGACACATCATTTGGTTACCTCCTGCACATGCCCTGACCAAGGCTGGGGATCGAACCTGCAACCCAGGTACGTGCCCTTGACCGGGAATTGAGCCCAAGACCCTTTGGTGCATGGGCTGATGCTCTAACCACTGCTCTAACCACCAGGCCAGGGCTTTTAAATATTTGTAATGCTACCTCTGGAAACAGCCATACTCTGGCCCTATTCTCTTCCCAGCTTAAATGCAGGACCCACTCCCCTCCTGGGTGAGCACAGGAGAGGGGGCTGCCCAGCTCTCAGCTCCCCTCTCTGCCTCGGTGGCCTCCCATCCGAGAGAGTGGCATCTGGATGTTCCTGGGAGCCCAGTGCCTGTGGGTCAAGTTCGAGCCTAGAGGTGCTGCAAGGGGCACTGCATTCAAGGGCCCATGCCCGCCTCCCCAGGGGCCTGAGTGTGAGGTGACAGCAGGGCGGGGCCTTGGGCTGCTGGGCTGGGTGTGAAGACTCACTGTTTCACTTCCTCATTTTCCATTCCCACCAGCACCGGGAAGCCAGACCCTGTGCCTCAACCTGTGCGCGCACACACATTCACACACTCACACACACACACACACACACACACACACACAAATCATACACACACAAAGACACACATACACACATCACATACTCACACACAAATACATACACATCATACACACACACAAATCATACACACACAAAGACACACATACACACATTACACACTCACACACAAATACATACACATCATACACACACACACCACACACACAAAGACACACTCATACACACATCATACACACACAAAGACACACACACAAAGACACACATACACACATCACACACTCACACACAAATACATACACATCATACACACGCACCACACACACAAAGACACACACACTCACACACACATCATACACACACAAACACACACAAATCATACACACACAAAGACACACATACATACATCACATACTCACACACAAATACATACACATCATACACACATACACACATCACACACTCACACACACATCACACACACACAAAGACACACACTCACACACACACATCATACCCACACACACAAATCATACACACAAAGACACACATACACACATCACATACTCACACACAAATACATACACATCATACACACACACAAATCATACACACACAAAGACACACATACACACATCACACACTCACACACAAATACATACACATCATACACACACACACCACACACACAAAGACACACACTCATACACACATCATACACACACAAAGACACACACACAAAGACACACATACACACATCACACACTCACACAGAAATACATACACATCATACACACACACACCATACACACACAAACACACACATAAATACACAGGTATCATACACTATACATACCATACATCACACACACAGACACATTTAGATTGCCCTCATCACCTTTTCTTGGCCAGCTGCACAAACCAATTGGTCATTTACACTGAGTGGCCAGATTATTATGATCTCTGAATACATAATAATCTGGCCACTATATATATGAGGCCCAGTGCATGAATTTGTGCATGGGTGGGTGGGGTCAGGCCAGTCTGGCCAGGAGGAGGGGACATGGTCAGTTGGCAGGCCTACCTGCTGGTCAAACTCCTGGTTGAGGGAACAATTTGCATGTTAGCCTTTTTTTATATAGGATATACACTGAGTGGCCAGATTATTATGTGTTCAGAAATCATAATAATCTGGCCACTCAGTGTATATCCCAGTGTGCAGTGGGGGGAAATAAACCTCCTTTTCTCTAAAAACAACAGCAGTTGGCAATCATTGAGCCCTCAGCACACGCCAGGCATTGTGCTAACCGCTGGCCGTGGGGGTCTGATGTGACTCTGTACTGGGTGTGTTACTATACCCAGCTGACAGAGGAAGAAATGAAGGCTCAGGGAGGACAAGGTCACAGGAAAGGCCCTGCGGTGGGGCAGTTACAGGGCAGGCTGTGAAAGCAGGCAGTGGTTCTCCCGCCATGTTTGACCCACTACACAACCCAGTAAACCTTTTCCCAGATCCCTCTCTTTTAAAAATGTTTTTATTGATTTCAGAGAGAGGAAGGGAGAGGGAGAGAGAAACAGAAACATCAATGATGAGAATCATTGATCGGCTGCCTCGTGCATGCCCCCTACTGTAGATCGAGCCCACAAACCAGGCATGTGCCCTGACTAGGAATCGAACTGTGACTCTTGATTCATGGGTCAAAGCTCAACCACTGAGCCACACCAGCCAGGCCAGTTCCCTCCTTTCGATGTGCTTTGGTAGAGTGTCTCTGCCCCCAGTCAGATGTGTGTGGGCTCCTCGAAAGACCCAGTGGCCCAGACACTCACCCTGCAGGTCAGCTGGAAGCCTCTGGGCCTGCCAGGAAGGGAAGGCCCACAGGAAGCAGAACCCATTCAAGTACATGTTCTTGTTGCATGCATGGTGCACAGTGGGGCCACAGGCCTGGGGACAGAGAGGTGGTGGGCGGGCAGCTCCTGCCTCTGTCCCATCCCAGCACCTCCACCCTCCACAAGAGCCCCAGTTCCTGCAGCCCCAGGTCCCCACCCCTTTCTCAGGATGCCCCTGTGCCCCAGGGCGACTCACCAGCAGCCGAGAGGGTGTGGTGGCAGCTGTCAGAGACAGGCCCAGGGACATGTTCACAGCCTCCGGGGGTACTGAGGGGACAGGGGGGTGATGGTCACCCTCAGGACAGAGGACATGTACAGTCTGGGCAGAGGTCCCCTCATCCCTGGGAGACAAGGAGGTCTGACACATGAAAGGGGCTCCCAGCTCTTGAGGGAGCGCAGGGGGTGCAGGGGCAACGGGTAGGAAGGCCTTCGGGGTCAGGAAGCATGTCTAATGGCGAGGGTTTTCAGACTGAGCTGAAGCTTGAACGTGGGTTCACTGTGCTCCCCACAGACCCATGGGGCATGGGCACCTGGTCCTGGGACTCACCCTGCAGCTGGATGGGTTCACATCTGGCCGTGCTGTAGTCACACCGGTAGAGGCCGCCCGTTTGGTTGACAGCCTGTACCTCCTGGGGGGCCCCCACCACCACCCTGAGGGAGACAAAGAACACCGCAGCTTAGAGTGTGGACACAGCAGACGGAGAAAGACAAACACCGTGCGATTTCACCTACTAGTGCATGAGGAATCTAAAGACCAGCATACACACAAACAAAACAGACTCGGATGCAGTGGGCAAACCGAGGGCTGCCAGCTGGGAGGGGCGAGGGGACTGGGTGAGAGAGGCTAAGGGAAGGAGAAGTCACAGAATATTCCCGGGGATGAGAAGCGCAGCACAGGGAATGTGGGCAACATTTGTGTGGTAAGTAGGTCCCTTGCCAGGTGGGTACTAGAATTCTCAGGGGGAATCACTTCATAAATTATGTAACTGTCTAAGCACTATGATGGACACACGAAACTAACATAAAATAAGATGAGAGTAGCGTGGAGGCTAACGCCAGACTGCCACTCCAGCAAGTTTGCTTTAGCGCTCTGTGCCTCAGTTTCCTCACCTGTCAAGAGGAGATTAATAACAACTTACGTTCTGCATGGGAGGGATTTCTGTCTGTTGTATTCTCTGGTGTGCGACTGGCTCCTGAGACACACAGTAGGTGCTCAGTAACGATTGCATTGAGGACTAAATCCAAGCCCACAGAAAGGGCGCGAGGCCCCAGGGGCTGGCGCCTGTAAGTGCTCAGTAAATGTTAGAGAGCTCGGATCATCCAGGTGGCCAGACACGACCCTGGGGGAATGGCCCCTCGGAGAGAAAGGAGAGCTTGTGAACCAAGGGCGTGGTGGGGAGGAGCAGGGAGAGGAGGTGATGAGAGCCCAAGGCCAGTCTCCACCTGCTCACCAGTTGGCATACTGGACCACTGTGTGTCCAAACCCGGCGCTGGGCATGGGGAAGATGGTCGGCTTGTCCGTATCCAAGTTGAAGCAGAGAGAGGAAGCCACGCCTGGGGAAGAGGGTGCGGGGAGAAGCTTTGCGGAGGTTCTTCCAGTCTCCTTGCTGGGCCCAGCGCCCCCTGTCTCCCCCCTCGCTGCTCTCTTGCAGACGGCCCAGGGACAGCGCCTCACCCAGTGGCAGGCTGGCAAGTTTCAACTCTGTTTAGGCCAAACTACACCCCCATCCTAAAGGTGCACCTTCCCCACACCCACCCCCACCCCGGGGGCTCCTAAGAGGGGGATCCAGGAAAAGTTGGGGCCAAAGGGGCACTGTGGACAGAGCACACACTGAGCTGGTTCTGCCTACCCGAGGGATCCCTGGATTGTCCGGCACCTGGCCTCCCTCTGGATGTCTGACAGTCCCCCAGACTGTCCTCTCTCTCCACAAACTCCGGATCTCAAACCCCAGGTCCCTCTCCTGATGTGTGAGTCCAGATCACACACATTCTCAGTTCTCTCCTCCCTGGATCCCAGCCTTCGCGCCCCCTTCCTCGGATCCCCAGCTTACCCATCAGCAGGAGAAGGGATGTCCTGGTCCAGGTCTTGGTCATGACTGAAGGTCAGGCCTGGGCTCCCAAGCTCCTGAGGAGCTGCTGGGGAGTCGCTGGGGAGCCGCTGGGGAGCCGCTGGAGGCTCCAAGATGACAAGGGAGCAAGTGGCAGAAGGGTGGTCAAGAGGCCGGAGCTAGAGAGGGAAGTTGTCAGAATGACTCAGAAGGGGAGGGTGGAGAGTGTGACAGAAATAAGCAGAGACAGGGGCCTCGGCAGCCTACACACTCCCACCAGGAGCCTTTCCGAGCAGGGATGACTTGACTTGCTTCTCCGGCCTCGCAGATCTAGACTCCTGTGGATGCCAATCCCCTGCCCTGCCCTGCCCCGCCTCTCCTGGTTCTGGGAAGGTTCCCCTTGACCTTGAAACCTCAGTTCGCCTGGGGAGAAGGAAGGGATGGATGTCAGGGTGGGGTTGGGGCTCTCACAGAGATTCTGAGGGAACCCTCCACTTCTGGCCTGGAAACCTCTGGGCCAAGGAGGCAGGCCCCCGGCCCGAGGAGTAGAGTGGGTCTTTGCTCGTTTACTCAGCAAGCCCTGACGAGGCTGGTTAAACATGCCCTCAGTGAGCAGAGTGAGAAAACACAAACACAACCACAGCCCCAGCCCTGGGGTCAGTGGAGGAGGTGAGACTTTGCTCTGAAGGGAAACCCAGTAACCACAGAGCACCTTATCCGGGCTGGGGAGGCGGGGAGGCAGGTTAGGGAGGGCCTCCTGGAAGTGGTCGCATTGAGCTAAGTATTGAAGGCCCCTGACTACCAGGGAGCATGGATAGGAAGGGGTGGCCGAATGTGGAAGAGGCTTGAGACAGCAGGAAATGGGTGGTGGAAACCAGAGAGTAGGTGGTGGGAAGTAACGGGGATGAAGTCAGTGCTGTGGGGGAGGAGGGGAAGCAGGCCCAGCCCAGAAAGCCCCCGAAGGCATGTGATTTCAGGCTGGGGCAGAGGGAAGCATTGATCTTCACACTTATATTTTAGGACGCTCCAGAGAGAAAGAGGCTGATGAGGTGTGGTTTCCCTGGGAAAGAGCTGGAGGCGGCAGTCCAGTCCGGCAGTCGGAAGGGAGAGGATGGGGCCTGTGGAATGAGCTTGTGGCCATGAGGATGGGCTGGAAGGTGATTGGTCAGAGTGGAGGACCCTGGTGCTGGTCCCTGAACAAGAGAGCACAGGAGGAGGGTGGGGTGGTGGGCCAGGCCAACTTTGTTCTGTTCTGTTCTTCTTCTTCTTTTTAAAAATAAATCTTTATTGTTGAGATTATTACAATTGTTTCTCCCCCCACCCCCCACATAGCTCCCCTCTACCTGGTCCCCACTCAACCCTCTGCCCTTACCTCCTCCTGCCCCCTCCACTGTCCTCATCCATAGGTATATGAATTTTGTCCAGTCTCTTCCCGTACCCCCCACACAGACACCCCTTTCCCCATGAGAATTATCAATCCACTCCCATTCTATGCCCCTGATTCTATTATATTCACCAGTTTATTCTGTTCCTCAGACTTTTAATTCATTTGACTTTTAGATGCACTTATTGATAGATATGTATTTGTTGTTCATAATTTTTATCTTTACCTTTTTCTTCTTCCTCCTCTTCTTAAAGAACACCTTTTAGCATTTCATATAATACTGGTTTGGTGGTGATGTACTCCTTTAGCTTTTTCTGATCTGTGAAGCTATTTATCTGCCCTTCAATTCTGAATGATAACTTTGCTGGATAGAGTAATGTTGGTTATAGGTTCTTGCTGTTCATCACTTCGAATATTTCTTGCCACTCCCTTCTGGCCTGCATAGTTTCTGTTGAGAAATCAGCTGACAATCGTAAGAGTGCTCTCTTGTATGTAATTAACTGTTTTTTTTATTGTTGCTTGTAAGATTCTCTCTTTGTCTTTTGCCCTTGGCATTTTAATTATGATGTGTCTTGGTGTGGTCCTCTTTGGATTCTGTTTTGTTTTTTGAATATGTTTTTATTGATTTCAGAGAAGAAGGGAGAAGGAGAGAGAAATAGAAGCATCAATGATGAGAGAGAATCATTGATCAGCTGCCTCCTGCACGCCCCAGTGGATCAAGCCCACAATCTGGGATTGTGCCCTGACCAGGAACCAAACCGTGACTTCCTGGTTCATAGGTTGGTGCTCAACCACTGCGTCTTGCCAGCCAGGCCCAACCTTGGTTTTGAGAAAACCAAACCATGGTGGTAAGGAGCTTGGGTTCTTTCAACCTCTCTATGCCTCAGTTTCCTCCTCTGCAAAATCGGGGTGATAATAAAGTATGCACCGTCCATGCTGCTAGGAGCTGGAGTGAGTGTGTGTGAGCTTTCCTCTCTGGCAATTACCGGTGGTGATGGGTGTATTAGGTAAGAGGGGCTGATGGGCTCCGGGAGGCAGCTGAGGGGGGATCATATACACAAGGAAGGGCCAGAACCCAAGTTACCCATCTCCGCAGCCGAGCGGGATCAGGCGCATCCAGCTCTGTCCCTCTGGTTCCCCTGACTTACTATGTTTCTGCCCAAGGTGCTGCCTGAAGACCATTCCAGTGGGTGGGGGCAGGGGGCACTGCACCTGATCTGCCACCTATTGGAGGCGGCAGCGGGCAGGGTAGGGGAGGGGTAGGGGGGGAGGGGTGAGGAAACTAGGGCAGAAGCTGATTGAATTCAGGTCTGGCACGCCAGCGCGAAGTGGAACTGAAGAATTTGGTCTGTCTCCTGGGCATTTCTTTTGCACGGGCAAAGGGAACAGAAATCTGTATGCAGCAAGCCTGGGATTTCTTAGTCCATTTCTACCCACACCACCCACAGGGCCCGAACCCTCCTCTTGCTGCATGCAGTCTGTCTCACTTCTCTGCCTCTGAGGACAGTTCCCCACCTCACCTCCAAATTCTCTCAAAACAGAACGTATGTAATTCCATGGTGTGGACACACACGCGCGCCCGTGTAGGGGCTCAGGAAGAGCCCCTCCAAACGCACCTGGCCCCCCTGCACGCCTGGGTCCCCGCGGGAAGCCCGCCCTGTGCGTGGTCTGGAGCTGTCAGTTCCAGTCGGTAGGGAAGCCTGGCACAAGGGAGGGAGAAGCAGGCTCCGGCAGTAACGTGATGCCGGCTGGGGCAGTGCTGACACCAGCGTGTGCATCACAGTCACTTCACGTCTGACGGCGCCTTGGGTCCTCACACCAGCCCTTTGGGGCAGGCGGGCTGCTCCTGTCCCCACTTCACAGGCACAGAACGCAGGCCAGAGGTGAGCCTCGAGCCTCAGGCTGCCATGCAGGGAGTGTTAACCACACTGCTGATACGCCTTCCTGTGCACCGCTGCTGGGCTGCTGCAGCTGTTAAACGCTGAGGGCGGGGAGGGAGCCAACCATCAGGCTTCCTCAGTGCCAATAACAGGTGACATCCTCGCACGACAGTTCATTGTGAGCAGATACTCATTTGTCCTTGTCTCTCCAAGGATGGCCATTAGACCTGGAGCAGACACGACTAGGTCATGCATGTCTGTTGGGCACGTGGATGGATGTGCGATGGGAGGGCAGATGAGATAGTGTGTGAACAAGTGGGTGGGTGGATGGGTTGGTGGGTGTGTGGGTAAGTGGAAGGACGGCTGGGTGGGAGGAAGGACAGCTGGGAGGGTAGAAGGACGGCTGGGAGGGTGGGTAGGGCAGTGGATGGGTGAGTGAGAAGGTAGGTCGATGGGTGGAAGGAGGGTTGCACAGGTTGCAAGCGAGTGGACTAAGTGGTCAGCCCAGACCCCCTGAGGCCTGCTCAGTCATTGCACAATCACAGATCAGAATGCTGCCTCGGAGCAAGAGGGAGCAAACTAACCTGAATTGGGCAAACTTAAGGTAAAATGGGAATTTTTAAAGTAAGTCAAGTGGAGGACGTTAGGGAGCAGAGTGAATGCGGGCATGGTAGTCGTGGTGGCGATGAGGTAGGAGGAAGGAACCCAACGGCTCATACGCGCCTCAGCTAAAGCCGGAGCTGCTCTTGCTCCAACTCCCGTAGCTGGCCAGTGACGAAGCCAGAATGACAACACAGCACTTCTCATGTATGTAAATTCTACAGAGCGCAGACAGGAGAGAAGGGGAAGTGGAGACAAGTCACTGGGCAACAGGGAGAGAGGGAGAGAGGGAGAGAGAGAGAGAGAGAGGAGAGAGGGAGAGAGGGGGAGAGAGAGAGAGAGAGAGGAGAGAGGGAGAGAGGGAGAGAGAGAGAGAGAGAGAGGAGAGAGGGAGAGAGGGAGAGAGAGAGGAGAGAGAGAGGAGAGAGAGGAGGGCAGGCTAGGGCGGTGGGTCTGGTGTTGGTGACCGGCCTTACCTCCCGCCGGGTGTCCCATCTGAAGGCCCCACGGCGCCGCCTCCACAAGCTGAGTAGGCAGACCCAGGCTGGAGCCCACGCCGCCGAGTCTGCCTGGCCTTACGCAAGTCCACGCACCCTCAGGAGTCATCGGCATCCTCTCCTGCGAAATGAGAGCCACATGCCCCTCCCTGGCAGGCGGGGGCTCCCTGAGGCCTGAGGGGCTGGAAGCGAGGGCCGGGCCAGCTGCGGCTGCAGGTGGAGGTGCCCTGGCTCCCCGCTCCGCCTCCGCTGTTCGGAAGGAAAGCCAGCCCCAGTGAGAAAGTGAGTGAGTGCACGTGAGGGCCTTTCCGATCTCCTTCCACCTGACATTTCTCTGGAGACGTCGAATACTGCATCATTTTCAAAAAAGTGATTCCCTTGACCTTGATGGTGCCTTGAGCACAGGGTAACTGCGGGTCTGGAGGACAAGTGCTGGCCCAGCATAAGGATTACCAGGCCCCTTCCACGCCAAAGCTGCCCTCCTGGCGCCGGGCGCTGAGGCAGGAGCGGTGTTGAGCGGTGGGAGGATTGGGAGCTCCCTGACCAGGGCGCTGCCCACTCCCCTGGGCACCCGTCCTGCCACACAGACACCACTTCCCCTTCTCTGTCCGCACAGACCCGGCGTTTGTCTGCCCTGCGGGCCTTAGGACACACGTAAAGGCCAGGAGGTGCCTGTACCCCTGTG